GGAAATGAAATGTATGATTTAATCCTGACGTAAAATTCAAATGCTTTGAATGACACTACATTATACAACGAACCTCACCCGTTTTCATTTATTATAGTTTCATACAGAGGCTATGTTCGATCTTACCCTCCCTTCACTTTATCTCCGCCAGCCCACGTTGGGACGTCGAAAGGACAACTTTTGGGTCTCGCGTTTTGGGATGCGTTTTGGGATGTTTGAGGGCACCTACGGAAGTGATAAATGGCTCATTAGATTACATTCGTCAAGAATCAATAGTATCTATTATCTTCTGATATGTTTGGAATATTTTGGCAAAAACCTAGAATTTGTTGTAGTGGCGGTGGCGGTGATGATGGGGGGTAGGGCACGTAAAGTGGGGAGACCCTTTTTGAATTTCTAAACCACTGTCCTCTTTAACGTGAATTTTAAGAACATAATTCCTAAGACTAATGATAATTCGACGTTATTTACTAATTTACATTACGTACACAATTGTACATTTTTTAAAGTACTTTACTATTTTTGACGATTCGTATTCACGTAACTACCTCCTCTCGATGTTATACAGTAATGTTATACATTGTACTAAAATATACTTTCATTATGAACTTGCACAAACATAACTTTTCAGTGTGGAAGTTTCGCCGAAAGCGCCATGTTAAGATATAGTAATATCCGAGTTATCAAATAATGTTTTTTAATCTTTGAGATCCACATTTCAAAATGAGAATATGTTAGGTTTGCACGCAAACTCCCGTAATCATCTTGAAAAGGAAATCATAAGATCGAATGATATACGAAACCTGGCGAAAACTTCATTGGTGAGATGAGCCTTAACTTAGGACTTTAATTTGGTCGAGAACACAGTGAGGTCGAGTGAGCTTTTCTTTCTTATCGTTCTACTGTTCGTGGAACTTCACGAAATTTAATTCGGCTGAAATATATGTCATAATAAAAGGACAGCGAAAGTTTTAAAGTGGATTTCAACTAGTCACATTGGAAAAACTCGTTAGTGAAAGATCCTTCCTCAGGGGCACAGAACAGGGAACGCGTGTTCGAGGCTGGCATCAGATGACAGACTCCTCGACTAAGTTTTTGAGTTCTCCGCAAATCCTGTTCCGCGGCTGGACTTGCATATCTATTATTTACGTAAAAGAATACTAATTCAAACTTTGACTTCATCGATTGATTCTCTCCGAGCCTATCTACTACCGGACGAGGTGGATCAAGGAATCAGCTTATGTCGCAGCAATGCCTTTCACCTGGCGGTCTTTGGGTTCGAGCTCCGGCAGAGGCAGGATTTTCGACACCAGCTACATAGCTTGGTCGAATTCAGCCCCTCGCTGTCAGCACGAGAATTCCAGCGACCGGCTGCTCTGATCGGTAGTTTTCCGTGGTTTCTCCTATCAACCCCGGAGCAGTACCCGAACAAACGAGCCACGGACCGCGTGCTATCTTTCCTATCTATTCCTTGCCCTATACTCACCCCTCACATTTACACGCTAACATGCACTACACTACCACACATGTCGAGAGACGGTTAGAAAATCCTAGAGCGTAACTCTAACAAATGGACTGTGAACAGTGCGCGAGCTTTCCTTCCCTGACATCGCCCTTTCCTCCCCCTTATTTATACGCACTTACAAGCACATGCTCTGCACTACCGCGTATGTCCGGAGATCAGCTTAGAGCTTCCCCGGCTGGAGGCGGTGATCCGTTGATGGAAGATACCTGATAGGGAAAATTCTGTAGTTGACGTAGGCGCCCTCGATAATTTTTTCATGGTAATAATGACAGTTACTTGACGAGAATATTGTATGCAGGGCTTTTAGTACCGTGATATAAAATTCATTTAATGAAAAATTCATTTCATGAACTTCATTTCACTAAAATCATTAAATACGAAGCAGTAGGCAATTATTGATTAAATAAGTATATGCACATCTACTACGGGTTAAACAAATGTATAAACAAATTCTGTTATTCTACTATGTCCAAAACGATACACTAATGTATAATGTTTTGTGAGGTAATAGTCCTAGACTCCTGTATTTTTCTATTCCAGGAATACGAATTTTAATCTTATTTACTACACAAACGCAAACATTTTTGGAAAGTGAATAATTTCGTTTAATGTTTAACAATTCAAGATATCTTGAGTAATTTGTTACCCTCTTAAATTAAAATTAACAGAGAGCGCCATAACTTGCATCTCTTTTAACACTTCCCGGAGCAATCTGAATCTTTCGCATTAAAAATCTAATTATCGGAATTACGTAAGGCTTAAGTGCGATGAGATCTGGGAAAAGCTTTCTTATTCTAAGAAGTTGTTTGGCTCGGCCTGCTGTGCCAGCAAGCAGGCACTTGAGTGTTCCGAAAAACAGTGGCGGCGGCGGCGGCGAGGCGATAGGGGTGGTGCCCTCCGGGGCTAATATTATCATTTGCATTCTTTAAAATAATCTCTGTGCAGTATATTATCCGCGCTCGTTTTGTTTCTCCCTAAGTTCGCCGGATGCGAAGGGAGTGAGAGAACTAGCTATTTCGACGACAGAACTTTTATATCAAATACGTAGCTCGTTTTTCATTGCAAACTAGTTTCTATTACACGGGAGTGAAAATTTCTGGTAATTAGATTTTGCCAAAAATGGAGAGAAGCATCAGGAGTATCGTGTGCCCGCCGAATACCAATGCGCCCTAAAGGGAAGGTCTACAAAACTGCAGTGCACCCTGCCATATTGTACGGAGCAGAACGTTGGACGACGAAGAGGAGAGAACAGAAGTTGCACATAGCGGAGATGAAGACGGTGAGGTGGATTTGTAGAGCGGCGCGAAAGGACAAAATCAGGAATGAAGTGATCACAGGAACCGTGAAGGTGAGGTCGACAGTACAGAAACGCCAAGAAATGCACCTCTAGACTACGGTGTTCATAGAGTGGAGTCAACAGAAAATGGGGAAACGAACATAGAGCCACCCAAACAATTGGAGAGGGAAGATATGCGGCAGAATGGTGTAGATATGGCGAAGTAGATATGGCGAAGTAGATATGGCGAAGTAGATATGGCGAAGTAGATATGGCGAAAATAGAGCTGGAGAGGAGCGTTCCGAAAATCCGACCCCAGCTAACTGGAATAAGGTTTAGATGATGAGGATGATTTTGCCAAAAACGTTCGTCGCTAATATTATTATTCTCAATTTAAGTCTCATTAGTAAAGGTGTGGGGGCAGGTATTCCGGGAATCTAGAAAACGTGCGCCTGTACCTGTCCATATTTTTAGCGCCATTTTCCATTCGAAACCAGCCGTGGAAGCCGTTGTTCTCAGCTTCTGTGCCATTGGCTGCGGCCGCGAGTTGAAGCGCCCTGTTGTTTGTTGCTCGGAGACTTTAAAAAACAATACTCGCTGACTCATAATGCTGGAATGGCTCCCAAAATATGTTTTTATTTATTTATTTATTTATTTATTTATTTATTTATTTATTTATTTATTTATTTATTTATTTTCGTTCTTTATTTAACGTCAAAAACAGTTAAAAACTGTCCGTGACACCCTGTTTGGATTGTGTCTACTGACGGGCTCCTATGGAGCAAACGCCGAGTGCGGAAGTATTATACTTCAGCGCTATCTATTTATCGATTTACTATCATACTTTTTTGTCCTGAATAGTGGGTTGAATACATCTGATACTCAACTCATACTGTTTGTGGTGACACTAATGAGGTAAGATCATTAATGAGTTTCATCAATTCACTTTTAATATTTATAATTTTAAAGTTTGGTATTCTTTTAGCCACATAATTCTTGAATTTATTCCAGTCGACTTTACATGTATCTAGTATGAAGGCGAGAAACTCTTAACAATGGATGTTTGATGCATATGAATATCATTACAGATTTGGTGTATCTTTCTCAACGAAAATTCCAAAGTAATAAAATCGATAAATATTATGTTTGTGCCTTCAATAATTAAAATTTAACAAATTTTTAGGTGATTATCATTCACTGGTTATCTAACTTTGAACGCTGTCTCTGATGGTTTCTCTTAGAGCTGCCGGTGCCAGGAAGTCCGATTCGAAAACTGCTTAGCACAGGAGACGAGCGAACTTGCAAACATGTCGCAGTTTATCTCCCACAACTACGTATCATAACTTGCCCACAACTTCAACTAATGTAATTCAATTCTCCGTTCCAACAAATCTACGAAATTCTTGCCCGGATAGTTCAATTAATTCTGCAGATATTCAAGTACTTTGATAGTTGTGGGCGAACGAGCCATAAAGCAGGCTGGTTACAGCGCAGAGTTAGGAGGGAGTTGGTTGTCCAACTAGCCGCTGTGTGCTCGAAGTGAGCTTTCCACGCCAACGATATCTTCCCAGTGGCAAGACACAACATTTGCACCGCGCTCCGTGTTGCTGCTTTTCACGAATAACAACTCTTTCGATACAAAACTACTTCCAAAGGAGATGTGGTACAAAATAGACGAGCTGTGCACCTGTAGTTTGTTTAACATTTATTTTTATTATAAATTTGCAAAGCATAAAGAAACATTTGTAACATAAAAATATTTGTCGGAGGCGCCAAGCTAAACTACTTCAAAATATTTCAATAAAAGGTGTCATTGCCATTTTTTTCATTATAGTAGCAGCTTTGAGTGGCTTAGCCATCATCAGATATTTTGTCAGAGAATCGAAACCGATCCCAGAAGAAAAAATAAGCAGACTTTACCTGTCTTACATTTCATACGGTTTTTTACTATATTAGATGTCAAATAAAAAGTTTATCAATTGTATTGTACCTTAATAAATTTGAATAATGCTGGGAACTCATTATGTTTCCCAAACATTGAGCAGACAAAGGAAACGGACTGTTATTCAATATTATCTTCACAGTCTGATGAAATTTTGAATAAATATTTCGTTAAATATTTTATATTTCAGAATGTTATTGTTTTCATGAGATTGTAATAACTATTAAAATACAATATGCTTGTGAACTTGCTTGCAGATTCACGACGCGATATCTCTGAAATGTGAATCTGAATGCCGTCAGCCACTGCATACATGGTTTGGAAGAGAAGTATTTTCTTCATTTGTCGTAAGTAAAAAGGCAAATACACTACCACTATAATATATTAATCTTATTCGTGCCTCTTATTGAGTACAAAATGACCAAATGTTCGCATGAACAAAGGGACATTTGTACCACTGGGTATTATTTTCAATGAAAATAATAAACCAAAATAATATGGTTAGTTTCCTGAATAACTTATAATAAAAAGTACAGTGCACTTTGTATGGAATAAAAGTGACAACAGACTCGTATACAACAAGAGACCTTCAACCTCTGTCAGAAGTTTTAAGACCAGAGAATAACAAATGAAAACAAGGGACCTAAATTGCTACATTAATGAAATGAATTTATTACCATAAATTATCATAGCGGTTCGTAATAATCAAATTGAACTCAGTTCTTCAAAGAGAACATTTTGTTATTTCAGTTTTGTTATTCTCTACTGTAATTTCGTTACCTCAGCGGCAAAGCCAGAACGCTTCAAAATAATTCTCTTCTACAGCACTCTTAAATTCTCTCAACTCTATTTCTCTCAACGCTTTTTACTATTTGAGATATTCATTGTTTGACATTTAAAGTTTAAGATAGTGAACGAAACTATTTTAGTACGTGTTATATTCGCTTGTATAATGATCATATGCAAAAATAATACATCGATTGATCGCATAAAGATTTTAATTAATGCTTAGTAATTTCTATTGATCTGAAAGTGTGTCTCATCCGTTAAGAATAACGAACAAAAAATGGAGCACTTTAGAAACGTTCACAGGATTGGTAAAATGATATTTTTAAATCATCAAATCGTATTGAATGTAGATTTGAAAGGACATTTTCTCATGAAAGTGGATTTGCTTCTTCATGTTATTTTTCCAAAGTGTAATTTTATGAATGTGTTTTTCTTTATTACTGCAATACAAATAACTTTATTTTTTCAATTGACTACGACGCTATTAAAATCTGTATTAATCCTTTTGTAAAAAAATATTTAAAAGTAAACATTTAATGTCGCTGCCTATGCGGATGGAAAAAGGCATTCTTGTTGTCTGGAGACAATCCGTGCATTGTTTTCCCATTCTCTCCGCCCCAAAACGTGTCTGAAAACCCTAACCGAGACTTAAAAATCTAAACCCATAATTGAAAAAACAAATAAAACAAAAAAAAATAAACAAAAAGTAGTGTGTGTATAGATACGAAATTTGTAGAGGCTCTTCTTCAGGATTGTCAACTTGTCCTTGCAGAGTTTGCAATTGGTTTATAATATTTTCCTCCAGGGGCCAGTAGCGGTGCGGTAGAACTAGTACCTTTCGCTAGAGGCCAGTAACAGTCCGTAACATAAAAAAAATTAATATCAATGTACTGAAAAATAAAATGAAACAAAATTATAGTGTTTGAAGGTAACTGGTTCAATTTTTTAATAATTACAGTAATCTTAAACACCATGGTTTACGTAAAATTGAACTTCCTCTTCCATAAGAAATGGATATAAAGAAAACCCAAGCAACGCTAGATATTTTGCCCGTAAGAAATAAAGCACAAGAAAACTATGTTCAATATACGTGACATTTTTATTTACGCGAAAAAACAATGAAAATGTAAGATACAAAAACTAAACGCAGCATTCCAGAGAGAAAGAAAACCTACTTCACTGTCCAGACACATACAAAAGACCATCTTACCATTTGCTCTAACTCTGAGAAAAGTTGGAAACAGGGAAGGAAAGAACGGCCGAGGCGGCCGAAGACGTAAAGCGATAGCAGGCGCTGTGCCGAGGCGAGTACAAGATATTACTTAACACCCGCCGCGGCGTGCGAGTACCCCCCTGAGTCGTATTCCTTCCTCGCCCGATATCTTTCCTTTGCCACGGGACTAACCCTCGCGGCGGACGCCGCCGCACCTATTTCGCGGCGTGCACTTTGTATTCATCCGCGCAAGATTTACTTCGGCGTAATAAAAAAAGAGGCGAGCGGGCCGGCAGGCGAGCGGGCCGGCTGGCGGGCGGGCGGGGCGTGGCGCTTGGGGGCCTAGTCCTGGCGAAGAAATGATAAGAAGTTGGAAACTTCTCGACTTTCCCGTAAGGCTGCCGTCGATTTATAACTGGGAAAGCCGGGGTTTGGCCCCTTTCGTGTTGTTAACGTCGAGGAGGATGAGTTGGGAGGCAAAAGAGAGCGAAAGAGAAAGAGAGCGAGTGAAGGGAATGAGAGATGCGAGAAGTGGAGAAAGGGAAGGGGGAAGAGATAGATTGGTGGGAGGGATGATGAGGGATGGAGAACGAGGGAGAAAAATGGAGGGAAAGAGGTGGGGAGGGGGGAGGGAGGGAGGGAGGGAGGGAAGCAATCAACATAGCCTTTTGTGGCGCTGAGTGCCGTCGAGGAAAGGGTGAACGAATAAGAGTGTGAGAGAGAGGGGGGAGGGTGGAAACAGCTCAAGTACTCATTTTTTTCCTGTCGGAACCTGTGCGTCAACTTTGGTGATGATAGTGACGATTATATGAGGCGAAAGTATCTGGATACAAAAGACTTCTGCTTAGGGGGATGATAAATAGGACCTATCATTCTGTGTTGTTTCCCTTCTTTGCGAGAGGAACTCCTGAAATATGTTCAACGTTCTTAAGGAAGGGGTGACCAATGGTTTAACGTTCAGTACAATAAGTGCATGCACAATAAGCATACACTGATTGGGTGTGAATGATTGGGATCAATCATTTCTTTACGCACATAGGACTGTCGTCTCTGAACTCTCAACTTCAATTGGTGTCATCGGATTTTTGTTTCTGAAAGATGTCCAGGAAAATCTCCATTTACTTCTATCCGGTTTTTTTTCCTACACAAACACAGGTTTTTTTATTTGTTATTTTAAGAAACATTCATTTTTGTTAAATCAAGATGATATTATATTAATAATTGTTTATTGAATATTCTATACTACAGTTTTCCATTATTTATTGTATAATATTAATGTTTATACTTCCACTTCCCTTTAAGTAGTACTCTCGTACCTGATGTTTTACATAAGTAATTCACTTGGCAATAATTAATTATCAATCCAAAGGATTATGAATTGTTACCTGTTAAAGTATTGGCTGAATTTAAGGTGATTTACGCTTTAAAGATTTTAAACGTTGGTAAATGCGGTCTCAACTTAAATTCCTTTCCTACAAGCAAGGGTGGATTAGGCGGATAAGCGGATTAAGCACGTGCCTAGACTTACCACTGGAAGGACCCACAACAATTTTCGAAACAAAATTTCGTGTTAGTTCATTAATAAATTAAAAGTATGATAATGTTATTTTGTTAATTGCAAAGGTTGTTTCATTTTAATATTATGTGACGTACTCTGCACTACCGGTCAATTAATTAAAATAATATACTAGACAGGAAAAAAACTGGCTTAAGTGGCTCAGAGCATCAATTCATGTCTTGTGGAAACGCCCCAGCCGGGACAAGATCGGAGCTCCCGACTGGTCTCCCGACATGTGTGGTAGTGTAGTGAATTTTTGTGTGTTTGTAAGGGGTGAGGATAGGACAAGGAAGAGGAAGGAAAGGTCGCGCGCGGTTCATCGCCCGTTTGTTAGGGCACTGCTCCGGCAATCGCTTAGTATTGATCGGAGATCCAACGGAAAACTACCGATCAGAGCAGCCGGCCGCTAGAATTCTCCTACAGACAGCGGCTGAATTCGACCTCGATAGTGTCAAAATCCTGCCATCTTCGTGACTCGAATCCTAGAACCTCCCGGTCAGAGGCAGTGCAGCGACATCAGGTGATGATCTGATCACTTTTGCCCGTTCAGAATTTTAGCACGCATAAAGGTTTATTTTAATATTAATTCAGCCCTAGGTAGAAATAAAGAAGAGAAACAGATTCGACACATGCGCTTCTTTGGTTAAAAGATATATACTTTAGTCTCTCCCCAGTACGAAAAGAACTCCATGATGAACGAACGCTCGCCCTTTCAATAGTTGAAATTCGCAGTAGCTGGGACTGCAGAAAAAGTTAGGAGACGAGTACATTATGTGTTAACATTATCAAGTAGTAAAAGTTTTCCTATAATTTCAAAAAGATTCGTTGCGTCACACGCAAGGACACAAAGAGAGCGCGATGGAGAGTACGCGAGATTTGCGAAAGTGTGAAAGAAAAAGCGCATGATTCTCCGAGACGAAACTTCAGAAACACTTTGCTGTTGCTTCTATTTTCAAGCACTTTTTTCAAGGTTTATTTTTGGCAACACAAAGTTATTAATTCATTAGGACTTTGCACATACGTTTACGCAGGTTAATTAATTAAATAGAAGAATTATTGGTATGTAACTATTAAATATTATCTTAGGTAGACAGCAGATAATGAGAAATTAGGGAAAATTTATGCACATGAACATTAAGAAATTTAAGAAGTAAATATGACCAAAATAATTATTTTGACTCTAAAAATAGTTTCTGGTGATTGCATTCCAGGACTCCATTTTTAGGATAACTGTTTTCCAACATGTCATACACAAATCACTAAGAACTGTTATTATAAGATACCGTTATTATTCTAAAGATATAAGAACATTAAAAAGAATTGCCACGATGATTTTATACTATTCATATATTTCATCTGTCCAACACGAATAGGCAAAACTTTATAACTTTTATTTTTACATGTTCTTTGTGTTTGTGTTTAGTGTAACTGTGGTTAGTGGAACTGAACGGAGGACCAGCTTTTAGGTGAATGTCTATTGGATGATTTGCATTACAAACTACTTGCGGAATGCAGCCAGCTCACGTAACTTCATATTCGATCCACATTCAGCAAATACTAGTTCAACGCTCCAGTAATTAATGGTTTCAGGCAGAGCAATAGTGCTGGGTTTGCATCCTCACATTACAATAGAGTAATGGTGTTGATAGTAGAAACAGTGTGATATTGCATTGGTACATTATTTTTATCTGATATTCATTAGCGCAAATTCTGAGCGTGTGGGAAATTGTGTTAGAGTAGAAGTGTGTAGATAAGATACGTCTCACTTATTATAGGAAACTTACCAT